AAAATCTATCGAAAAAATGGTGTATGAGACTCAAAATCCATGAACCAATAACTCTGCAAGTTGTGGTGATTCAATACGCCCATATTTAGTATTACACCAAGAAAAGCCTTCATTTCCTCTATCGTCACATCTTTCCAATTATTCCCAGTGGATCGCTGGGATAGTTCTTTCTGGCTAATTGTATGCCTAGCATACTCATTTGTCTCATCCGTTACATTTTTTATCAACGTCTCAGTAAAAAAACAACTGAAAAAAGTCTATTGGTGTGGCACATCCAGAAGGAACTTGAGGTCCAACATGTAACTGACCAGTGGAGAAAGGGATTCTGCTAGGCTCTTTGTCATTCACAGAGGTAGATGTCCACTTTTCTTTTTCCTGTTTTCCCCTCCTGAGGGGGGAAATTCACTCAGAACGTGGGACTGCTAGGGGGCAAACCAATCATCCAACTAAACCCTGTGTCAGGACAACATCTGTAATATGCTAATAGAAACCTAAACAAACCTAGGAGATGAAAAGATAAGGAAGGTTCTTTACCAAGGGAAGATGATGCAAGCTCGAAAAGGCATGATGCAACGACTCATGCCTTGGACCCTCCTACTCAAGATTGCTGCCTATGCAAAAGACAAGCTTAGGTGGTGGCATCAGTTGAGACGGCATTTACATTTTACTTGTCCTTTCATGCTAATGAAAACAAGAAAAATACTGGAAAAATAGACAAAAATCCCCCTTCCCCCCTCGGTGAAACTACAGGTCGAGTATGGCTCAACATACGAGCTGCAACCGATGCTAACCGCGTCGAGTCACACTCGACATCCGAGTGCAAAGGGTTAAGATGCAATAAATGTTGGTTATAAATGTGTGCCAGCCAGGCACTGGTAAGCACTTTATGGGAATCATCTCATTTAATTCTCATAGTAGCCCATGAGGTAGGAGGGAGATATTAATATCATCCTTACTTTGCCACTGCAAATACCTTGGGCTCAGAAAAGGTTAGTACTTTGCTGGAATTGCTTTAGCAGTTTCAGCAAAAGCAGAGTTTCTTAAGCTCTCCACTATTTGCCTTTTAAGCCCCATTATTCTTTGTTGTGGGGCTGTCCTGTGCACTGTAGGATGTTTAGCAGCAGTGCTGACCTCTACTCGCTAGATGCCAGTAGCATCCCTCACTCAAGGTGTCACAACCAAAAATGTCTCCAAGCATTGCTAACAGTCTCCTAGGGAGAGGGAGGACAAAGTCTCCCCCAGTTGAGAACTACTTCCCAAAATCCACTAGTTCTGCAGTCCCCAAACCCTGGGCTGCAGACTGGTACCAGTCCATGGCCTGTTAGGAAGTGGGCCACACAGCAGGAGAATGGCAGGTTACTGAGTGAAGCTTCATCTGTATTTACAGCTGCTCCTCACCACTCGCATCACCACCTGAGCTCCACCTCCTGATCAGCTGAGATCAGCAGTGACTTTAGATTCTCATAGAAGAGTGATCCCTACTGTAAACTGTGCGTGAGAGGGATCTAGGTTGTGCTCTCCTATGAGAATCTAACACCTACTGATCTGAGGTGAAACTGAGGCAGTCATGTTAGTGCTGGGAAGTGGCTGCAAATACAGATTATTATGCACAGAAACCACAATAAATCAATTGCTTGCAGACTCATATCAAAACCCTATCTGAGTGGCACATGACAATTAAACTATATCTGGTGGCAGGCTTTATAGTGGCAAGTGAGTAGATGTACTTCAATTGTACAGCTGCATCTGGTGGCAGGCTTTAAGTCAGAATCTGACACTTTAAGTCAGAATCTGTACATGGGCCACTCATTATTTTATTTGCTACTTCCATCCATGCCTCTTTCTTGCACTGGGCACTTGTCTCAGTCACAGTTTTGGTAAGCCCACAAGCTAACCTGAGCAAAAATGAGTAAAAAACAAATGTTGCTTGAGAGCATCTTTGAAAAGGGGGAAAGACCCAATGATGAGACAGCGGAACTGCCAAGAAATTGAAAGGTGTATTTAAAATAAAATAATAAGAGTCCTACTTAAATAACAGGTTCATTGCAACAGGCGATTCACATTCTCCAAGCCCACTTTGTATAATATGTGACAACCAGCTATCCAACAATGTCATGAAAGCTTCAAAACTGCTTCACCACTGGAGACCAAGCACCCTGCATTAAAAGACAGGCCTTTGGAGTTTTTCAAAAGAAAAAAAAAATGTGACCATGAAGAACAGAAGCAATTATTGAAGGCCACCACTTCATCAAATGTGTCTGCACTGAGAGCATTATTCTTAGTGGCTAACTGCATTGCTAAAGCTACGAAGCCCTTTAGTATTGATGACGAGTTGATCCTGCCTGCTGTTGAGGACATTTGCTGTCAACTTTTAGGAGAGGCTGCAGTTCAAAAGGTGGCATGTGTTCCTCTTTCAGCTAACACCTTAACTAGATGAATTGATGAAATAGCAGAGGATATTGAAGCATGACTGTTAGAGAGGATTAATGAGTCACCATGGTATGCAAACCAGGTGGACAAGTCTACCGATGTTAACAACAAGGCAACAATGCTCGTTTTTGTGCGATATGTTTTTCAGGAGGATGTGCACAAGGATATGTCGCATGCACTTTTGTTGCCAACCAACAGACACCACAGCTACACAACTATTCAAGTCTTTGATGTGTACAAATCAGGAAAACTGAATTGGTCATTTTGTGTTGGAATATGGATGGATGGAGCAGCTGCCATGACTGGACGGCTTCCTGGTTTCAATTCTAGGTCAAGGTGGTTGCTTCTCAATGTGACTGTGTCATCTATCGAGAAATGTAGACTGACAAATGTCACCTAGACTAAAGAATGTTTTGCAGGATGTGATTAAAATTAGCAACCACATGTTGATATGTCCTCAACCACATGTTGACATGTCATCAACCACATGTCTGTTCACGTAGCTCTGTGAAGAAATGGATGCAGAGCACACACATCTTCACTTATAAAAAGAAGGGAGATGATTTTCTAGAGGTAGATCACTGGCCAGAGTTTTCAAGTTACAAGTGCTACTCCAGAGATTTCTTTTTAGAAAAACAGTCACCATTGCCAGCACATTTCAGTGACACAGAATGGGTTGTAAAACTTGCTTACTTGTATGATGTATTCAATCTGCTCAATGAACACAATCTGTCACTTTAGGGGAAAATGGCAACTGTGTTCGTGTCATCAGATAAAGTGGCTGTATTCAAAGCCAAACTAGATTTATGGGGGTGGCGAGTGAACATTGGGATTTTTGACATTTCAAACATTGGCAGAGATTTTGAAAGAGACTGCACTAGGGCCTTCTTTCTCCCAGATGGTGCATGGTCACCTATCTCAGCTTTCAAAAGAGTTTGAACATTACCTCCCAACCACAAAAGACCACTGAACAGTTAAGGAATGAATCTGTGACCCATTTGTGACTAAGCCAGGTGAATTAACTTTTTCCACGCTAGAAGAGGATCAACTGCTTGGGATCTCCAATGATACTGGCCTGAAAAGTATTTTTGAGTCAATTTCAAATCTCAATACCTTCTGGATTAAAGACAAGACAGAATATCCTGAGATTGCCACTAAAGCACTGAAAAGCCTGCTTCCATTTCCAACATCCTATCTTTGTGAAGCAGGGTTTTCTGCAGTGGCAGCAACCAAAACGAGGTTATGGAGTAGACTGGACATAAGCAACACACTTCAGGTGTCACTGTCTCTCATCACTCCTTCCTAGACGGGACCATCTAGTTGCAAGAAAACAAGCTCAGGGCTCCCACTGATTCTGCACTATGGTGAGTAGTATAATTATTTCATCATATATTACAATGTATAATAATATTTAATAGAAATGAAGTGCACAATAAATGTAATGTGCTTGAATCATCCCCAAACCCTCTCCCCACTCTACCCCTCCACTATCTGTGGAAAAATTGTCTTCCATGAAACTGGCTTGATGCCCAAAAGCTTAGAGACCACTGTACTAGCTCATGAGAAGTAGAATATAAATTTCAACCTGGGCAGTTTGAATCCAGACTTCAGAGCCTGTGATCCCTCCCAGGGTGCTAGGCTGGTTGAGGGAGGGACAGACAAGAGAGGAAGCTCTGTGGCAGAGAGGAGGAGGAGGAAGGGGTTTCCAGAGGACTTATGTTCTTGTGGGGCAGTAAAGGACGAAAAGATGAAGAGACACTTGCTGGTCAACTAGGAGTGAGGGATGACATTTTAGGCTATTTAATGTCTCCTGTTAGAGCCAGTCATGAATGGGTTTTCCATAGAAGCTCAGAATGAGCCTGATATCTTGAATTTCTGTACTCATGATAAAGGCTTCCTAACTAATGCCCTGTGCCCCAAACTGCTGATTCAAGCTTGCAGTAAGAAAGCATCATTCATTCTGTACAGCAACAGAAGGAAATGCTAATGTCTGTTCTGACTGCTAAAATAAAGTAATTTGGGGAATGTAGATTCTGTGGGGGGAAAAAAAGTTCATTTGAGTTAGTCACATTTTGTGATTAGAGTCAGCTGCTGAATGTCCCACTCATTTGGGAGTGGGGATCCGTCATCAGGACCTAACACCAGAGGGTTGGTTTTATAATATTTATTTGTCAAAAAGGCAATCATGTTTTTGATAAAAGAGTTTTCAAGATTGGTTATATTTCTCCAACCTGGATGATGGGAAGCTGGGGGCCAATATTGGTTCTGGAATAGCCTGAACCCCTTTCAGTTTTTACATAAAATACGCTGACTCTGTACTGGCATTTGACATTTTCTTTAATAACTAATTCAGGCTGCAAGTGAGCAATTCTTTCAATAACTCATTTTATTACACAGAATGTATTTTCTGCAAAGACTCAAACCACAGGCTTCTTCTAAGACTTCTTTTCTCTGTCCCCACCCCATGAGGGAGCGGCTCAAGGAGGTGATTTGTTTGGCTTCCCTTGTCCCCCTCCCCCACACCTACTCTCTCTTGGTCACTTCTCCAGCAGAAATAACAAATTTCTCACCTGGGCCCTCTCTGAGGGAAAGTTGACCTGCTTCTCTCTGGCTCCAGGGGCAAGGGCTGGTACTTCTTCAGGACCGACATAGGAGGACTGTGGGAAGAGTCACCATCAGAGCCCAGGCAAATTTGCTGCACCAGGGCTCCTCTGAGCCTGAATCCCCACTTCCCTCCCACCCCCCCCCCCCCCCCCCCGCGCCCTCCCCCCCTGCCCCCAGGGTCCCCAGCTTTGGGGTGGAAACTTCAGCTCTGGGATGCCAGCTTTACCTCATGCAGCAGCTTGATCTATTTCAAGTCCCTTTGAATGTTACACTATTTATTCCTCTAATTAGAGTCTAAATCTAGCTCCCTGAGACTTTCTCTTTGGTCTGGTGCTCTTGTCTAAAGGGGCTGATATAATTTTCTACAGAGTCTCATATGCTTTTTAATATGCTGCCTATTTGGGTTTCAGGAGGCCTGGGGTGAATATGGTAACAGCCTTCCATTTATGCCAGACTGGAAGACCTGAGGTTTTAAAACTCCCCAAAGAAATATGAAAATGTTTGAAAGCCAACGAATGCCTCACTCTGCTATTTTTTCCACCCGTTCACTCATTTATTCATAAAAGGCATTGGGCACTTTGGTTGATGCTGGAGGTTGAGAGAGGAAAAAGACACAGTGCTTGGCTTTAAGATGCTTCCCTCTAGGAGGGGACAGAGAGAAATGATGGCCAGAGAGTGTCACGCATGCTACGGCAGAGGTGCTCACAGGGCCCACCTACAGCAACAGGAGTAGCGGCTCACCCAGAGCCTCAGCGGTCAAGTCCGTTGCTCTTGCCTCTCTCTATATCTGTATCTGTATCTGTATCTGTATCTGTATCTGTATCTGTATCTGTATCTGTATCTGTATCTGTATCTGTATCTGTATCTATATCTATATCTATATCCACACACACATACAAGTGTAATAATATTTGTATTTATATATGTGTTATAATCATAAATATATGCACTTAAATAACTACATATTTATGTATTTTAGGTTTCTTCAGGGCATATCACAGTCTCATATGAATCTGCACATGCCAGATATATACCCATCATATGATGTGGCAGATTTCTGTACTAAAAGTAGGGAGAGAAAGAGGAAGCAATAGAGAAGAAATACATTCATCAGGAAGTGATGAGTGTAGCTATATTGGGTAGATAATTGTGAATGAGTAAATGATAAAATGGATGAATGAAGGCTTGTTTAATCTTGTTCATTGACCAACTGGTATTAGGTTTTCAATGCCAAATGTTTGTTTCTCTTTTCAAGTGCTGGTGCAAATCGTTTAAGTGTATAGCAAAACAAAACACTGCTGTAAATGTCTTACCGAGGAGGTGGCAAAGGAGTCTGTAAAAGGAAAGAGAAGCAGAAATTAAATTTATTGTTCTTGGCCAGGCGTGGTGGCTCACGCCTGTAATCCTAGCACTCTGGGAGGCCGAGGCGGGAGGATTGCTCAAGGTCGGGAGTTCGAAACCAGCCTGAGCAAGAGCGAGACCCCCGTCTCTACTATAAATAGAAAGAAATTAATTGGCCAACTAATATACATAGAAAAAATTAGCCGGGCATGGTGGTGCATGCCTGTAGTCCCAGCTACTTGGGAGGCTGAGGCAGAAGGATTGCTTGAGCCCAGGAGTTTGAGGTTTCTGTGAGCTAGGCTGACACCATGGCACTCACTGTAGCCTGGACAACAAATCGAAAAAAAAAAAAAAAATTATTGTTCTTTGAGCAGGGCCAATGGTTAACAAATTTTTGGTTTACAAACAGAGATTATAAACTTCTAGAACATATTTTTCAGGTGATATTTAAGACTTCGCCTTGCCTACATCTTTATACTTTTAAAGTAAAGAGTAATAAATGCATTTTAATGCTTTCTCTTACCTTGTTCCTTTTTATGTATTTGTCTCCTAAAATGTAAGAGGAAATACCAGTGAATTTATGGAAAATGTCATCAAGCACTATTTTTACATATGCTTAAATAGAAATCATTTCTACTTTTAATAATATTGATGATAGCATCAATTAACATTTGTTGAGATCTTATTAGGTACCTAGCATTATGCTAAACATTTTAGTTGTGTGGTCTAATTAGATCCTCACTCTTGTTCTGTTAATGAGGATACTGAGGAATGATCAGTTAAATAACTTACCTACCAGTCACCCCATTAGTGAATGGCAGAATGAAGATTTCATTGCATATGGTGTGACTCTTAAAGTCCCCTTGCAACCACTGATTCCCATTTCCTGTCTGGAATTATATATATATATATATATATATATACACACACATATATATATTTACATATATAAATGTAATTAATTTAAGTTTCTACCTAGCATCTTCTTCATGGGATGTTTATAAGCAGAGAAAATAGCATCACAGAATTTTCAATGTAGAAGAATTTTTGAAGACCCAAGAATCCAACTCCTTTATTTGATGGATGACAAAACTAAGGGCAAACTGGGTGAGACAATTTCTCAAGACCACTGACCCTAGAAAAAGTCCAAGTGAGGCCTGGACCAGATTTTTCTGATCTCTAGGTAGTTTTACTTCCACAGTTCAATTCAGTTAAAAGACAATTTTGAGCTGCTACTCTGAGCTAAACACAATACCAGTCACTGGGGCTAAAAAGACAAATACAACAGGGTCCTTCCTCCCAAGGCGCCCACAGTTGGTCTATTACTGGCCGAGCTCAGGCAGTGGGGACGTGGTGGTGAAGATGACTGACTCTGTCCCTGTTGCTGTAGGGATTATTCCTAAGTGGGTAGACATGCATTGGAGACATCATGAACAGTTAATGTGATGGGGAGTTCAAGGAAAGAAGGACATGGTATTAAAGGAATATATGGGAGACTTAAGTTAGTCTGGGACATCACAAAAAGCCTTGGTGAGGAAGCAATATTTGTGTATCTCTAAAAAATAAGTGTGGCATAATAAATGTTGTTTTATAGGACTATGGGGGAAGTCAATGAGAATATGTATCCTCTTACTACAGGAGACTTAAACCTCAACCAAAAACTCTCTGGGTGGTGACAAATTCAGCCTCCTTTCCTTTCCTCATTTGTGAAACAAGAAGGTTGGACTAAGTCAGTGGCTTCTCCCTGTGCTCTGAAGCACCCCTGGACTGCCCCTTGGAAACCCCAAGGAGCCTGGGGCAGTGGGCCTGGTTTCTGGCTCCCAACCACATCCACGGGAGGGGTGGGGTTGGTAGAGCTTTACTTCAGCCCGTTGTCTGTTGTGTCTCCTCTTGAGATTTCTTTTGGTAAAAGGTCCATTCCCCGCGCCTCCCCCCCAAAATAGCACAACACAACATGAAATGGTCTGGGTGATTTTAATGGCTCTTCTGACTCTAAAATGATTACTTGATTGAATAAAATTACCATTCTCCCTGTTTGTTTTCATTTTTGGAAAACACTTTATAAATGGGTAGGACTGTCTTCTTTATATGAATTCCAAACGCTGATTGCACACAGAAATAATAGATGTTCTTGGCATTGTAAAAACACAAAATATGACCCAGAATGTACTTCAACAACAACAGCCATCTAGTCACCGTGAGATCTTTGGCTATTTCAATGGTAGCCACAAAAAAGCTTAGGCCACATGATGCTTGCTGAAGGCACCAAATCAGAAAACATAAAATTAATTTCCTCTCAATTTATTGTTCATTGGCTTCACCTTCGGAGGTCCCTGGTAGACTGCTTGCTGCTTGTGCTGATGACTTGCCCTGTCAAACCAGATTTCGGCTTTCCAGGAGGTCTTTTTTCATAGGTACCCCCATACTTACTGGGGATCAATTCAATTCACTGGAAAAAGTTCAGTAAAGAGACTGAGTTCCTGTAATCCAATGGGAACATTCCCATTTACTGTTTCAGAGATACCTATTCAGTTTGCTTCAGCGGCTCTGAGTGTAGAATAAGACATCTGTCTTCCTTCTATTCATTAATTTATCATTGACCGCATAGTACATGTCAGACATGGATTAATTTTTAATATTTTTATTGATGTAGATGTCAGGGAATATACCACCAACAAATAAAGTTGCTATTTGCACGTAACTTACATCCCAGTGGCAGAAGATAGAAAATAAACAAAAGCATAAATAAATAAACAATCACAGGTGGTGACAAATGCTACAGAAAATGGCCCAGGTAAGGGGGATAGCAGGGCATGGAGAGTGAGAGGTGGGGCTGGGGCTGCTGTTTTTAGGCAGGTCTGAGGAGGTGTCTCCAGTTAGAGGCTGAAATCAGGGGCCTGAGTAAAGTGAGGGAGCATGCCATGTGATACCTGGGGACAGCGAGTGCAGAGGTCCTGAGGTGATATCTTAGTCTGTTTTCTGTTGCTTAAAACAGAATTCCTGGATGCCTTATCCAGAAAACGAATGTATTTCTTATAGTTACGGAGGCCGAGAAGTCCAAGGTTGAGAGGGCATGTCAGGTGAGAGCCTTCTTGCTGGTGGGGATTTTCTGTGATGTTCTGAGGTGGTGGTATAGGGCATTGTGTGTCAAGGGCGCGGAGCTTGCTACTATGCTAGTTCAAGTCTTTCTTCCTCTTCTTATAAAGCCACCAGTTCCCCTTCCATGATAACCCATTAATCCATGAGCTAATTAACCTCTATGGGAGGGCAGAGCCCTCATGATCTAATCACCTCTTAAAGGCACCACCTTTCAATACTGCCACATTGTGGATTAAGTTTCAATTTGAGTATAGGAGGGAACATTCACACCACAGCACTCTGCCCCTGATGCCCCTAAACTCATGCCTTTCTCACATACAAATACATTCATTCCATCCCCGTAGCACCAACGTTTTAACTGATTCCAGCACCAACTCAAAATTCCAAAGTCCAAAGTCTCATCTGAGAGCCTGCGGAATCAAAATGAGTTATCTACTTCAAAGATATAATGGTGGGACAGGCATAGGGCACACATTCCCATTCCAAAAGAAAGGAATAGGCAAGAAAGGAGTTAAAGGCCTTAAGCAAGTCCCAAACCCAAGAGAGCAGACATTGGGCCTTAAGACCCTGCACACTGGTGTGGGGGTTGGGTGCCCAAGGCCTCTGGAAGCCCTGCCCCTGTGGCTTGGCTGGGCTTAGTCCACCCAGCTTTCCCAGGCTGGCATCACACACTGATAACTCTGGAGTTCTGGGGTCTCAGTGGTGGGCCTGCTCCCACAGCTCCACTAGGCGTTGCCCTGGTGGGGACTCTCTGTGGCTGCTCCAATACCACAGTTCCACTCAAGGTTGCTCTAGGGGGGGCTCTCTGATTCCTCTGTCCCTGTGACAAGTCTCTGCCTGGGCCTCTTTTGAAGACATCCTTTGACATTGGGTGGAGGTCGTCAAGCTTCCACATCTCTTGTTTTCTTCAAGCCTGCAGAATTAGTACCACATAGACCATCAAGAGTTATGACTTGTACCCTCCAGAGCTTCAGCATGAGTCTTACATGGGGCAGCCGTGGAGCACTGTGCCTGGGTGTGGGGGGCGGATTCCTGAGGTGGCCCTGGGAAAATAGCCATGGAGAGCATCCTGGGCCTGTCCCCTAAAAACATTCTGCTCTCTTAGGCCTGTGACTGGGCTGTGATGGGAGGGACAGCCTTGAGATTTCTGAAATGCCTTGGGAATCTTTCTTCCATTGTCTTGAGAATAGTGCCTGGCTCCCTTCTATAATGTGCTAATTTCTTTAGCAAATGGTCATCTCTTTAGCAAAGGGTGGCTGGGCTACATCCTTGATTTCCTCTCCTGAATAATTTTTTAAATCTATCTATGTGGCAAATTTTTTCCATTCTGATTTCCTTTTAATCATAAATTCTGTCTTTGAATTATTCCTTTGCTCCCAAATCTCAGCAATTAAGATGCCCAAAGTAACCATGCCACTTTTTCTACATTCTGCTTAGAAATTTCTTCTGCTAGATACCCTAGTTCAGATGTCCTCAAACTACAGCCCGTGGGCCACATGCGGGTCGCCTAGCACATGTATCTGGCCCTCTATGTGTTTTTGCCACAGATGCCTGTCCTGCTTAGCAGCTGACTCTTCCCGTGAACCACAGTGTGCACTCTCCAACGGTCTGAGGGACAGTGAACTGGGCCTCTGTTTAAAAAGTTTGAGGACCCCTGCCCTAGTTCATCACTCTCAAGTTTGACCTTCCTCAAAGACCTTGGGCATGGACACAAGTTCTTTGCTGATTTACAAAAAGGATGGTCTTTACTCCAGTTTCCGATATCCTGTTTCTCAGTTCTAAGTGAAACCTCATCAGAATGGCCTTTGCTGCCCATCTGTCTAGCATCATTCTGGTCAAGACCAATTTACCAATCTCTGAGGAGTTTGAAACATTCATTAGTCTTATTGTATTCCAAGCCCTCATCAGCTGGGCTTTCTCTAGTCTGCTTCTCCAAATTCTTCCAGCCTCTCCCCATTTCCTACTTCCAAAGCTGCTTCTGCATTTTCAGATATTCATTATCCACAACATCCCACTGCTTGGTACCAATTGTCTGTCTTAGTCTGTTTTTTGTTGTTGTTGTTGTTGTTGCTTATAACAGAATACTTGAAGCCAGGTAATTTATACAAAAAAAAAAAAATTATTTCTTATAGTTATGGAGGCCGAGAAGTCCAAGGTCATGGGGGCACATCTTATGAGACTCTTCTTGCTGGTCGGGACTCTGTGCTGTCCTGAGGCAGCACAGGGCATCAAATGACAACAAGAGCTGAACTTGCTAATGTGCTGACCCAGGAATCTCTTCCTCTTCTTGTAAAACCATCAGTTCCCCTTCCATAATAACCCATTAACAATGAGCCCTCCTGATCCCATCACCTCTTAATGGCCCCACCTTTCAATACTGCCACATTGTGGATTAAGTTTCAACATGAGTTTTGAAGGAGACATTCACACCCTAGCAGACACATGGGGAA